TTTGTTGTTTTTTCTGACTTTAACATCAGAAAATTGCAGCTCATCCAGGATTTTATGTCCTTAAGACATGTAATTTAGATAATTGATTAATTTCATCGGGCTTGATCGATAGATAAAACTGCGTATCATCTGCATAGCAATGAAAGTTAATGGAGTGATTCCTAATAATGTTGCCTAAAGGGAGCATATATAAAGTAAATAGCATTGGTCCAAGTACAGAACCTTGTGGAACTCCATGACTAACTGTAGTATTTATTGAAGATTCATCATTTAGTGATGGAGTTGCTGATTACAACCAACTGGATACAACTCAGCCTTCTAAGTGTGTAAGAGGAACAGTTGCCATTAAACTCTTGATAAATGATTCATGATGTGCAGGTGTTGATGTGAGTTTAAATGGCTGCATTAAGATAGCGCCTTTATCACTTTCTCACACTGATGGCAGTGAGCTAACATACAAGCTCCTTGTCTGGTCATCGGGACCAGTTCGGTGTTCAGTCACTAACCCTCATATTTACCTGTTCTTGGGTCATAGAAGTCTCCTTCATTGACAAAGATCTTGTCAAAGATGATGGTTCCAGCTCTCTCCATGGGAACAGTGAGAGCAGCAGAGAATGACAGTCTGGGTACATGAGCATCAACACCAGGCAGACCTAAAAACACACACACACACACACAGCTGTGTAACAGTCGGTATAATAACTCTGGAAGGTTCAATGGTTTCATTGGTCATATCATGTTGTGGCTTTTGAAGTGAATGTGTCACATTTTAGTGTTTTGATTTTTCTTAGTTTTAGTGAAGTTGTCATGAAGATGTCAGTCTCTTCTTCCTTCCACTGTACAAAATAAACCAGAATATTTAGATCTGTTCTCCATTCGGAGGCAGAGTCTTGTAGTAAATTACGGTCCAGTCTAGTAGTGATCCAGGTTGACTCAGTGGCGAGCAGGGCTCAGTTGTTAATCATGATGTGAAGCTGCAGGTTTGGAGATGCCTGATGCAGTTGTCCATCACAATGTGGTCCTTGTCAAAGTGGCTCAGATCCTCACGCTGCCCATTTTTCCAACACATCAACTCTGAGGACCAAATGTTCACTTGCTACCTAATATACCCCCCCCACACACACACACACTGACAGGAGCCACAGACAGACTGGAGCGATAGATAGATAGATAGATAGATAGATAGATAGATAGATAGATAGATAGATAGATAGATAGATACCTGGTTCACCTTTGGGACCTGTAAGAAACCAGAGCAGCTGTTAGAAAAGGTAAAGTAGTAAATAAAAAATCACAATGAGCAGCCAAAAAACTGTTTGGATTAATGCTAAATGTACTGAATGGAGACAGGTTAAGGCTCTGTACAGATGAACTTTATATTTAGAGGATTGGATTGTGTCATTCATTAATTTTGCCTCCATATATTTATAAACTCTACCTCTTACTTATGTAAATATTGGTCTTCTTATTGGTCCTCAACATTTTCTGTACATTATGCGGTGAAATGCTATGTTGCCCCCTCCAGTACAGTGCTTGATATAATAAAATATACGAAATAAAAAATACAATACATACAGCAAAGAAATTATATAAACCAAAAGATAAGAAGGGGAAAAGGTGTAACAGTCTGTCCGGAGCCCTGGAAGAGTATTCAGCATTCAACTAAACAATTTCCTTCATCATTCTGTATCTTTCCTTATATATCAGGACATATAAATTTATTAAATATATTAAAAATGTTCATACCGGGCAGACCTCGTAAACCACTTTCACCTTGTCGTCCAGGAGGGCCAAGAGGTCCTCTGAGACCTTGCTGCCCCCTTTCTCCTGGGGGTCCTGGCGGTCCAGGCAGGCCTGTATAATGATAAATGATCTGATTTAAATAAAGTTGTGTGGGTTTGAACATGTTTTTTTTACAAACAGTAAGTGTGCATGAAGTTTAAGCTAGCAGACTTTAAGAGGTTAACCTTTTAACACGGTGCTGGAATTAAAAGCAAGGCTCTGTGATGCACACGCAGTGCTCAGCTAGGCATTAGTGGTGTTAGTCTTAGTTTGAGTAACTCTTCTGTCTGAAATAAACTGTTAAATAAACCAGTGGACTACAAGATGGTCTAGTGATATGCTGATTAGTAAACATTCAACTTCTAAACCAGACCAGTTTGGGGATTTTTCTCTTTTGATGATTATAAGTGTTAACACAACAAATCCCTTCCTGAGTCTGCAGTTAGTCGACTAAAAGAGCTACAGATTCAAACCTCTGTTGAGCAGCATGGGGCCTACAAAACAGAACAATACACCATCAACACACCAGCTTACACTGGTTTTCTCTGGCATTTATAATGCTTCAGTTAATATTTAATCAGGTTTTCTCAGTTGCTTCAGCACATTTTCCAAATCACTGTTCTCAAAACATTCAGTGCATTCAACACCATTATCAGTTAATACTGAGCAGCTCAACATGTACTTATCCTGCAGAGGGCAGTAACTCACTGAAAATACTGAACTCATGAGTCAATAAATTCAATGAACTTCACTGACAACAATATGAATTTTCCACTGCTGAACTCTAATGTCTGAAGAAAACATTAAAACAATAAACCGACAATAAAGTCAAATATCAGCTGACCAGACATGGATACTGAAGACTGGTCTTTAGTTGGTACTGATCCCTGATTGGTGGGGACCATAGCAATATAATAACAATAATCTCCTGCAGCAGGTTATTGTTATTTATTTATTCATTCACTTTTAGGTTTTCCACTACAGTAGTGACATAAGAGTGATGATTTCCATTGAAGGAGCCAAATCAGCTGAGAAAAAAAATGTAACACAGAAAAGTGAAATGAACTAAAGCTATATAGAACCATCTCAAAGGATTATAACCAGCTCACCAGTCAGGTTGGGCTCAGAGAAACTCTGGAGGTCTTTAAGGACCTGGTTCAGACTCGAGTTCAGGTTCTTCATCCTGCTGTAGACATCATCCTGGTTCTTCTGAATAAAGTCCATGATTCCTCCGTGATGGATGACCGAGTCATTCAGACCAGAAACACATGTCCACAAACTTGACACGTGTCGGTTCAGTCCTGAACACAGGACACACCACAACACGTGAGACATCACCACAGGGGATACATGGATCCTGTACTGGATTTTTGAGACAGCCTTTTTAAATGCTTTCTCACTCAGATACTGCTAAAGTGCAGAAGAACAGTACATATAGGAAACTGTTGAACCTGCCTTCAGCTCCCACAGTCAGTCCAAACACAAATTTAAAAAGGTTTTCTGAGGCATTTTTAAGAGAAATTAATTAAAACAGAATTAGAATCAGAATCAGAAAGCAGAAATACTTTATTGATCTCCGGGAGGAAATTTATTAAGGAACCATACCTTCCTTGATCTTGAGGATGGAATTGGAGACACCGTCCAGCCTTCCACAGACTCCCTCCAGCTTTGACAGCCTCTTCTCCAGCCCGTCTCCAGACTTCCTACAGTCTCCCACCTCCACCAGCAGCATGCTCTCAAACCGCCGGACATCCCGGTCCATCCCATCCAGACGGTCGCGGCTGTCCTCGATGTGCTCCGTTACCTCCTGCTGGATTTTGTCCAGCTCAGAGATGATCTTATCTTTGGTGTTTCCTGTTGGGGGTCAGAGGATGAATGCATGAATGTTGGCCCAGAAAGGTGCAGTGATGAATGCACCCTAACCCTGCAGAGAGAGTGAGCTGGGCTCACCAAGGTCTGTAATGACACTTCCATGTTTCTGCACCGTGTGTTCGAGCCCCTTCAGGGTGTCGTTGATGGAGCTGAAGGTGAGGATGACCTCCGACAGTTCGCCCTGCATCGTCTTCAGCTGATTGTTATTGATGGAGCCTCCGATCACACTGTGGCCATCTAAAGGCTTCTCGGCATCCAACCCAGGTCCACGTCCACTGGTACCACCAGTGCCACTGGTGCTACCAGAACCACCACCTAGTGGAGGTTTCGTTTGCATACAACTTATTAAAAAGAAAGTTAACTCACATGAAAAAGTAAGATTGACAGGTTAGAAATGGCAAGAAGAGGGGCAGGGTTTAGTGAAGAATCATTTGATTGGTTGACCTGACCTGTGGGCATGTCCGGGCTGCTCTTACATTGGCCAGTGCACTTCATGACTTCGTCTTGCAGCAGGCGGATTTCGTTCTCCAGGTGTGAACACATCTGGAAGCAGCCTTCTCTTCCTGAGTCCAGTCTGATCTGAAGTCTGTTGATGAGACTCTGCATGCGTCCTAGTGCATCCTGGGAGTGATTCTTCAGTCTCTGGACCTCATCCTCGACCTTCCTGCACAGCTCACAGTCCTGCCCCAGCAGCTCTACCTCCGTCACAATCCGGTTAAAGTGTTCTCCGTGATCACCGGTCAAAGCCTTGATCTTACGGACGTCATGGCTCAGGTCCACAACCTCAGAGATGATGTTAATAGTCATAATGATCATATCGAAACTTTAATGTATTATTATTATTAGTTTATATACTATATTATATTCTTTTGTAATAGAAGGAATTATTATTTTTCTGCCACTTCGGCTGCATATTTAACAGCCACAACATGCTTGAAAAGTCAGGGAAATTTGCAAAAAAAAGGAAATTCACATATGCAATTGTACCCATGCACAGGCACCGCCAAATGGTTAAGCCCTGCCCCCCAGACACGTATGACCGACATATAAGAAAATTGGTATGCATGTGTATCATGATGGGACAAGCAGAAAAGCCTCTTGGACGCTAAACAGGAAGTCGGCCGTTTTGGATTTCATGGTCATTTTTGCTGATTTGCACACGTTGTATTTGAACAAACTCCTCCTGGGGAATTTATCAGATCAACTTCAGATTTAGACACAGCCATCTAAAGACATTCACGATTAAAAGTTGTTCTATTTACGGCATACTGTCAAAAAGTGTGACCGTGGCGTGGCATCCAATTTCGATCCTTTGCCATGAAAGAAGGATTTGTCATAACTTAACTGCGTACATGATCCGATCTCAATAAAACTTTACATGTTTGATAAGAGTCCTGCCCTGAACATGTCTATGTGATAATATTCAGTAATAGTGAGAGCGCCACCTAGTGGTGAAAGGAAATGTAATTTTTTATACTTCCATGTTCTACTCCTAGCAGGATGATCAGATCCAGCTGAAATTTAGTCAGGAAATGCAAAACATGTTGTTGATGATATTTCATGATTGTGGTGAGTTTTTGTTAAAGGGCGTGTCCGTGGCGTGGCGTCAAATTCTAATG